GGTTTAATAATTTTATTTAATAAAAAAATATTTATGCAAAAGTATTACTTAAAATTAAAATTACTAGTTAGGAAAAAACGAAATAACAATTAAAAGGAAAGCAGGAGCACATACTGTAGCAAAGTAATCGTGCTTATCCTCCACTTACGAAAATCTTTTTATACCGTGGCAGGAGTACAGTAAGTTTAAGAAAAAGTCAGCCAACTGTAAACCTTTTCTACTGCAACTTCTTGGTGTGTACAAAGGTTTGAATTAATTAGAAATGCAGTGATTTTGCTATTCATCTTCTTCCTGATTTTCTCCATTTCTTTGTGAGAAATATCAACAGAAGTGCATCTCCTATCCATTTTATGAGATCTACTTAATCAATTTCTCCTAATCAAATCGCCTTTCTACGACCCTATCTGCATCTGTTAATCCCTCCCTCCAAAAATGGCTGATGCTATACTTTCCTTATTCCTAGACCAGGTAAAAACAATCATCGACAAGGCAAAGAAAGAGGTGAAGCTGCTTGTCGGTGTCGAGGAAGAAGTGGAAAAGCTTGAAAGAAATCTTGATCTTGTCCTGAGCGTGCTCGCACACGCTGAGGAGAAGAAAACAACCGATGAACTTGTCAAGAAATGGCTGGACAGGCTCAAAGAAGCTGCGTATGACATGGAGGATGCATTGGATGAGTGGAAAACTAGTGTAGAGCTGGAAGTGAAAGGAGCAGAAAATGCTGCGAATCGTCAGGGGAAGGTAACACCATTCTGCAATTTCCTTTCATGCTTTTCTTTTCGTCAGCTAAGTAGTCATCGTAAAGTTGCAAGGAGCATAAAGGAAATAAATAGAAGAATAGATGAGATTGTAAAGGAGAAAGATAAGTATCAATTGGAAAGTAAGAAGATTGAACTTCCAAAACGTCCAGAAACTTCATCTTTTGTTGATGTGTCAAAACTATGTGGTCGGGATGGGGTGAAGAGAAAAATATTGAGGTATTTGTTGGAAGGGAATAGTGAAGAGGAGGCCGGGAAACTAATCCAAACCATCTCTATAGTAGGGATGGGTGGCCTGGGAAAGACAGCTCTGGCACAACTGGTGGGCAATGATCCTGATGTTAAAAAGCATTTT